AAGTTTCAATTGGACAGGAACTTGGAATCATACAACTTGGTTGTGTGATGAATGAGAAACTTTATAATTGGAAATTCAAGACTAATTCATTGACAAAGAGTCAAGTGAAGGACTAGGAGATCGATTACACTAGGTTGTGCATTGATCAAGTACACTACGAGAGTGATAAAGATATTCATCATGATTTACTAAAGTTTAGTAAACATGGTTATACTTATAAGATTAAATATAATTCTAAGTTGATTGAAAGAGTTTCAATTAATAGCAAAACGAATAAAGTAGGCAAAAAGATAAAAGTTTCTCCATTCTAAGAAGAAGGGAGAGTACCTTTTATTGTGTTTTATGATAATTCTTAATGATTAAGAACCATATCTCAATTGATCCTCTAAGTGAGTCTTAGTGCATTTGTATGTCTAAGAAGAGGAATCGAGAATTGTGGAAATGGTTAAATCAAGAAGTCAATCATACTTCATTCCAATATCAAGTCTTAGATTTATACTCCAAGATTGTGAATTGAGTGACACGTCTTTAGTAGGTTGATAACACTCAACAAATGTCAAATTGGAAAAAGTCTTCTTATTCCTGCACATTTGAAATTGGTAAGTTGTGTTGTCTTGGATACGACAAAAACCAACTAGGACCAATTATGTAAAGTGTTTTTGTCTTGATAAGAAATACATTAACTCTTGAATATTTGTTTTGTCTAGGAAAGTTTCCTGACAAGAGAATCATATATGTCAAGAGGTCAGTGGGAGTTTTAATGGTCTTGAAAAGGTTTCAAGAAAAAATCAAGAATAAACCTTATCGATCATCACTAGCACACGACTTAAGGTTTACAACCTATCGTGTTGATATTATTTTGTTTTTGTGCTATTCCAATTGAGTTAATTATGTATGTGAGTTCTATGAGTTCTCATTTGAATGCATAAAGACAAAACACTTTGATCGATGGAAAGTACATTGATATGAAAGGATAAGTTGCTAAACTACTTGGAAGACATGGTGGGAAATCGTGTTACCATAAGGCAAGAAATCAAGATTAAGAAAGTTCAGTCCATATGAGATTGGATTTGTTGCAAAATTTGGTTTTGGAAAATTCACATTGATAGAAACTCATACACCGTAAAATCTAAGTGTCATAAGATTCCCTCCTTCATGGAAATGACTATGAGGAAATGCTTTCACTAAGAGAGATTTTAAGAAGATAGCAATTGTGAAAATTGTATTCTCAAATTTGATTATGGTTACGACATCCCTTTCGATAGTTCGAATTGTGAGATTTGGCAATTAGTCTAACATTTGGGACTTATTGATATAAGTTCTGAATTGTTTAGACACACATATGAGCTACCTAAGGCAAAATTGTATAAGTTTAAGAAGCTTAGATAAAGGCTTATCGAAGCATTTGGTATTAGAAATATGAACTTCAGAAATTCAATAGGCATTGTTTTCTAGAAGTTCAGTTGTTTTCTGAATACATGTCAAAGCTATTGGGAGCATAAGTGTTATCGTTATATGATAATAATCATCATGATAGTGGTAGCATAAGCGTAATGCTTGTATGATTATTATGGCAAGTATTGCAAGTTAGCAATATTAGTTATAGAAAACAAAGATTCACTTTGCAAAGTCGCAAGGGTTGAAAAGTTGTTTTGTTATAATTAAAGGAGAGAATATTATACTTCGTTTCCTAATCTAAATCTTAGATTGAGAAATTTTAATAAATATAGTTACAGGATACATAGTGTGTTCTCAAATTTCGATTATGATTACGACATCCCTCTTCATAGTTCGAATTGTGAGAACGTGACACATAAAATATTATGGCAGAAGATTGATAAAGTATCATGTCTTTATGAGAGACATTATGCATCATGTCCCATACGCTTCTGGTATTGGATCGATTGAATATGCTATAATATTTAACCGTTCTAAAATTTTCCAAATGCCTAGGGCATTAAGAGGGAAAATGGACTAGAACCGGTTTTGACTAAAATAATTAAACAACTATCAAAGGACGATCCAAAGTTCGCTGAGGATTGGTCGCTTGTGAGTAGTTGGAAGTATAGTATTGGATGAACCATATTGACATTATAGATAAGATTCTATTTAGAATGAGTTGTCATATGAAAAATATGGAAATGTTTCCATAATTGGGAGTTGGAAATTAAGAATTAATGTCTAGATTAGAAAATTTTATGCAAAAGGGATGTTCGAAGGAATGTACTTTGAGTGAGAGACATCACATCTAAATAATTATTTTGTAACAATTTTTGATAGAATACTTTGTAATTTCATTGGCCAAGTCTTGGTGACTTTTTGTTGTGACATTACGAAAGGATCATTGCATAAAATGTTAGAATCTGACATATTCTAAAAGTGGCAAGAATTTGGTATTCTTACACTAATGATGAGGATTGGGGATTGTGAAATGAGTTTCATTGGAAAAGTTTTTCAGTTGATCTATTTCATAAAGTATGGGCCATAGGTAACCAAAGTGTGCATGCTTGGAGCATGGGACAGTTGTGGTTATAATTCAAGTATAAAGTTAACATTAAACAATGAATAATGAGTAATCAATATGGTGATTAAATAAAGGTGTTTTATTTATACTCACAAGTTTGGGGTCATATAGGAATAAGTATTATCATTGTGTTTCTCTTTGCATGTTTTGACTTCCAGAATAACCGGTTTATTTGAACCTCCATAGTCGGTCATACGTTGGAAGTATGTTTGAAAGAAGACTGTCATGAATCTGTCTATAGATTGTCTAAAGTGTTTAGGCATAGCGTAAGTTTGCTGCAGAGTTCATGAGTGCTTTAATAAGATCAGAGTATCGGATGGAACCCACGCTCACTTGGATCACTTCATGGATTTATCACGGGTGATTAGTGAGATGATAATATTGTATGTTCTTGAAACCGATACGTGTGAGTTGTTATTTGTTGGTCGGTTTCACATTGATGATAAGTAAACGCACGAGTAACTTGGTGTTATAAAACTTATTGTTGTGTGTGATTCGATGAATGAGTACAAGCGAGCATTTGAGTCGAAGTTTATCCATTCCTTTTACACAAAGTGGGATAAAAGCGATATATGTGGGCCCCTCGATGATTTAGTGATGACACCCTAAAGTGTTTGGCCAAGCCAAAACTGATTTGATTTGTTCAATCAGTCATGGTCGTCATAAATCGGAAATCGGGATACATAACATAGATTGAGAGAATGATCAAAATCCATGTCTCATGTCTATACAATATCTAGAATGGAGGAATATATGATCGCTTATCTAAAGGACACGTCACTGATAAGATTAGAGTTCGACAGCGGCTTTTGGTAGCTAAAATTTGCTAGTCAATTTTTGAAGTTATACTTGTAACTATAGTTATTAGACTTACCCAAGTAGAAGACTGTTGGATTAGGTGTCTAAGCCCATAACTATAATTGGTATGTACTTGAACTGATAGTAGCAATGTCCTTTTGGGTTGCCTTCAAACCTGACAATAGAATAGGATAATTGTTAGAGAGAGAATAATGATTTATTAATTTATTACTTGGTTAATAAATTAATTTGAAATCAAGATAAATGATTTATTAATGTATTATGGATATAATATATTGATTAGAAATCAGATTGTTTAATTAGTATTTAATCAGAAATTAATTTGGAATTAATTTTAGGATTAAAGGAATTAATTGAAACTGCAGGGACTAAATGTGACAATGTTCAAAAGTTGAGCATTGAAGCATTCTAGAGTCTCCATTAGAGGTGGGGAACGAAATCTAGAGTGTCCTAGGGTTTCCTTGGGCTCTAAGGGTGCCTTGGAAGCCTTAAGGAGGTAGTTAAGGGATTAGAGTTATCTAAGATACACCTACCTTATCCTAAACATTCCTTATCACCTATATAAACCCCTATAGGGTTGGATTTCGTCTAAGGCACTCCAAGAGAGGCTTAGAGCCGAATTTTCCACTTCCCTTCTCTCTCCACAGTAATCCTTGGTTGTTGGGTTTGTTTGTGAGCCATTAGAGGCGCGATACTTGTGGCGCTTGCTACCAAAGTTCAAGATCTTCAAGGATTTGATTGTTATTACAATATAACAATCAAGGTATGTATCGTAACCCTAATTATATGTTAATTTTGAAAATTACATGTGCCTTATAGGGTTTTCTAGTTTTTGTGTTCAATGCTTGTATGTCTAATAGTGAAAAACATAGATCCTCAAATTAGGGTTGCATGCACACATATGATTGTTTTCTATGTATAAAACCCATTAGAAATACGGTGAAATAAACCTAGATCATGCATTCACAAAGCGCCATCAAATCTTGCAATGGCAAATCGCAATCAGATCCCATGTTATTGTTGTAATCGCGGGATTCAAATAAATATTTGTTTGTAGATGATATTGCGTCGTTCTTTTGCTGATAAGTGTGGGATAAATTAGGGTAAGACCGGATGCAAACTTTGGTTGAGAAACCCAGACGATAAAGCACGAAACTAGTGCTTCTAATTGAAATTTGAAATTGGGTTTTGTATACAATCACAAATCTAGAAAAAAAAACCCATAAATTAGTGTTTATGTGTGTGAAATATGTTTGTGGGGTATGAAGAGAAAGGGAGGGGTGGTCCATGAGATAAAATGGAGGATGAGATACATCGGGGAATGTTCTAGCCTTTTGGGTTTCATTGCTTGTGTGTGTAGATGCGTGTGTGTCAGTTTACCTATTTTTTTTTATTATTTTGAAAATGTTAATAAAATCTAAAAAAAATTGTAAAAACAAATAAATAATGATATAGTTGTATTTTCAAGTTTTTTCAGGATAAAAATAAAAAAAAAATTCTTGATTTTGAACCATCCACATAAGTTTGAAAACTTTTTGGATCATATTTAAAATTTTTTGAATATTACATGATCAATTTTGTAGTTTTGTCTAAAATTATAATTTTTTATTAATAAAATTGAAACTTTTTACCGTAAAATAAAAATAAAAAAAATTATGATTTTTGTAATTAACATTTAACCATAGGTTTTTTATAAGCACATGCAATCCGTGTGGTTGTAGACTGTAATCCGTTAAACTGTTCGAGTTCCGTCAGGGTTCATTTATCTGTTTCGACCTCTCTCTGCGGCTGTGGTTGGATCGTATTCGTATCACGATTAGGGTTTTTTTGAGTTCAAATTCGATCATGGAAGAGATAACTGATGGTGTAAACAACATAAACATGTCCTCCGATTCTTACAAGAAAAACCGAATTCAAGTTTCCAACACCAAGAAGCCTCTATTCTTCTACGTCAATCTTGCCAAGGTAACTCCATTAATTCCTATCCGAAACCCTCTACTCTTCCTTTCGATTTGGGTTCCACTTCGAATAGATTTCTTGTACGCAGTCTTCTTTGATCAGTCTTTATTGACATAACCGTTTGCGTCATGTTGCTCTGTATTTAGGGTTTTTATACGGTTTAATTTGTAAATTCATAACCATTGTTTTTTGTCTTTTTGATTGTACACCAGAGGTATATGCAGCAGCATAACGAGGTGGAACTTTCAGCGCTTGGAATGGGTATTGCTTTATCTACTTCCATGTTTTGCCATTTTTATTCTCGTTTGAAGCTTAATAATTCTGGAATCACTAAAGTTTAAAGCTTCTATTACATGCCATGGTTTGTTTTACAAAATTTGCTGAAGGGAGAATGGGAGAATTGATTATTTGATTATCACTTCAATTTGCCCAATTTTAATCTCTTTTTCGTTTTTCAAAGTACCCCTTCTTACAATAGCACGATTTCTGCAGCAATTGCAACCGTTGTAACAGTGGCAGAAATCCTGAAGAACAATGGATTCGCTGTAGAAAAGAGTAAGTTACATGTTATAACTGATAAAGAAGTATACTACAGACAAATGTAGATTTATAAAGTTGTTTGATTACACTTTTGGCATGTGAATATGCAGAAATAATGACATCTACTGTAGAGATGAAGGGGGAATCCAGGGGAAGACCTGTCCAAAAGGCCAAGGTAAAAAATGTAAAATTTCCAGTGATTTGATTATTCTGTTGATAATTGATTGTTTTGAAAATTGTATATTCAGATTGAAATAGTATTGGGGAAGACAGAAAACTTTGATGAGTTAATGGCTGCTGCACAAGAGGAGAGGGAATTGGGATATGCAGAAGAGCAGAACTGAAAGAGAGAATAATAGAATGTGTGTGTGATTGCTGTATGGAGTTGTGATATTTGCTTTCAACTTTTTGTGGTATTAAGATTGTTTTTTCGGTTTGATCTTCTAACTAAATTTGCATTATTGTTTTTGTCATCTTACCCTTATGTATCTATGCTGTCTGACTTTCTACACAAAACTCTTATATTCTGAAAAGGTCAAACAAATAGTTGACATGAAGAGTTTAAATCATTAACTCCAAAAAAAACCTTCAATATCAACATTAAAGAACTGTAGTCTTAAGAAAAAGAAAATTCTTAAAATGGAAGGTAGTGACATTTAACAACAAATAACTTTATAACGATATTTTCTTATCCAAAACCTACTATTCCATGCAAAAAGCCACTAAAAAATAAAACCCACAAATAGTAAACAAAGTAAAAACTGACACAACCCATTAAGGCCATGGGGTATGGTTCTTTTTTTACGCGTAAGAATCCTATGTGGAGCCTAGGTGGAGGAGATGTTCACTAGTGAACACCACCCTAATAGGAGTAATGATTAGGAGGAATGATGGGGAAAAATGGTGCTTTCAATGTGCATAAAGTAATTAAAATAGTCTTAAGACCGTATTAACATAATGTTAATGGACATTTGAGGACTTTACTTTTATTTATAAACAGAAGATAAAATAGAAAACATCAACTATATGCATATTGTTGTAACTGTTTTCATGTTAAACTGGTAATATTAATTTTAAAACGAACTGGTGTAACGAAATGAAACAGAAGGGTAAACTAATAAATCTGTTAATTATCAAAGAAAGTTTTTGAACAACTTCTGAATTAAAGTTACAAACTTTGCCACCTCAATCCTAGTTCATTGAAACTCCACGTGGACATTTCAAGACCCACAAATATAATCAGAGTATCTCAAGAATTACATAAATGAATTTCGTTATTCGTGGAACTGTAAGTAACAGAAATGGCGCTCATTCCTCCTGCAGCTCCTACTCTTGCAGCTAGCAGCGCACGGCTTAGCATGCTACCTCCCATCGTACGCGTTAGAATCGCCAGTCGCCGCCGATCTGTATTTCTAGCCAACTTATCTTCTCCGCTGCGCAGCGTCGAAGCGGTGGATTGGGTGGAGGCGACATCAAGCTTCTTCGAACAAGATACCAGGCCTATCATGCTATTTGACGGTAATACCAACACCTATATACGATTAAGATGCTTTGTTTTTCGAATTAGGTATTTATTTTCGATAACCTTTAAAATTTCTAGTCTCCGCATCTGTAACTATAATAATCTGGGTTGGTATACCTTTTTGCCCTAAATGATTAATCGTGTGGGTTTGATGATATAAGAACTAACGTGGAAACAAGAACACTTGATAATTTGAAACGCTCTCTGAAATATCACATGATCTACAGAAATCATGCGATAAATTTTAATATATGCGATCATCTGTTAGTCGTATATGTGATAATGTGAAGTGTTGTGTGTATATGATCAATTAAAAGAAGCTGTTCAATTTTGATAGGTGTCTGCAACTTATGTAATGGAGGCGTCAAGTTTGTACGTGATAATGACCGACAAAGGTTTCTATTCATATCCTTCTGATTCAGTTAAATTATAACAAAAAAAATCAGTTTTGACTCAATGGTGTGCCTTCGTTTTCAGGAGAATAAGGTTTGAAGCCCTACAAAGCGATGCAGGAAAGAATCTACTACAGAGATCTGGAAGATCTCCTGATGATATTTCAAGTGTTGTACTTGTAGAGAAGAACAGGTAAAGTCATACTACACCAATCATGCTATTACTGTAGCATGTTGTTCATCAACCTTTAGATTGCATAAGTAATTAAGTAAAGACTCTGGTGTGTTTCAGGTCATATATTAAGTCAGAAGCTGTGTTGAAGATCATGGAGTACATAGACTTGCCATTTCCCCAACTAGCTTTCTTTCTTCAGTTTGTACCTTTGTATGACTTTTTCCTCACTGATCTCTCATTTCTCTCTTTTACTAATGAAAGCAATTTGATTAATCTTCTATTCATTCTCAAATTTTCCCCTTTTCTTGCAGATTCATTAGGGATTTTGTGTATGAAAACATTGCGGATAACCGTTACGCAGTATTTGGTCGTTCAGAGTCCTGTGAAATTTAAGGTACTCATTCTAAGGTAACTTCTTATGTACTACTGAAATAAAAGATCTTCATTAACAAAAGGAGCTCATATGTTATTACAAAAGGTTAAAGTAAGCATAAAAATGACAATTGACAAATAGGGGGAATAACAAATAAATGTTGGACTAAGACTCTAAGGTATTAGGCATTTTAATGAAGGTTTAACATGGCTAGCTCTTCCATGGGCATTAATACAAGTCCCATAAACCTTTCTTCCTGGAATTGCTGACTTGATATAAACACTATCCACCACAATATTTGTGCATGCAACACTTTTACTGCAACTTATGTTTATTACATTGTCCATGTTTGATGTCCCTGCGATTCCTCTGAATGTTATGTCACTCAACTTCACAGCTGTTGTCTTTGTCACATAAAGAAAAGTGTTAATGATTTAAGATTTTAAGGGTTGGAAATGGAAACAACTTTCATTCAATATCTAAGTTACTATTTATAGATTGACACTGATACTTACTGAGGTTACGCAATCTTTCTGAGTAGGACAGTAGTATTGGTCAATCATGATAGGGTTCCAAACTGCATCAAACTTAATGCCTGAAAATGAGATCTTCTTTGCATAACCAGTTCCTCCCTGTTGAAAAAAAAAAAAAGTTAAAAAGGGTCCCTGTATTTATGCTTTTTTTTTTTCAGTTATAGTCCAAAAAAGGAATCCTTACCTGATATGATTTGATCCTTACTCCAGCTAGGGTTTTTTTCATGGTACAGTTTCGCACATCTACATTTTCCACCACATCAAATCCCCCATGTCCCAATGATCCAATGCTACACAAAAAGGTATATATATTATATATAGATTTTGTGTTTTGTATGATAATGAATTAATGATTTTATTAAATTATTTATATTACAATTTACAAGTTTCAAAATGTGTATAAGCTACCTGATTCCATGGCCTGGCCCACACATGATCCCGCTGATTTTGATATTAGATGAACCTCCACTAATAGCGATACAGTCATCACCTAAAAAGCGGGTTTAAAAAAATTAATATTTTTGACAAAAGAAAAAAAAAAAAAAAGAGGCGAATTTGGAAAAAAAGGGTAAAAATGGAAATACCTGTTCCGATAACGGAGTCACGAATGTTGACATTGGTGGAACTTGCGATATTGATGCCGTCAGTGTTGGGGCTTGTTTCAGGGGCGATGATTTTTAAATTAGAAAAAATAACACCATTGCATTTCGTCATTAAGAGATGAACTCGTGGACTATTTACATGTGTTAACCCATTCAGTCGCAAACTGTTGCATTTTTTAAACTGTATTGCCTAAAGTTTTTTAAAAAAAAAATGATGGTTAGTTGATTACGTGCTACTTGTACTACTTGTGCATGACAAGTTGTACCCTGGATAATGGTTACTTACCACTGGTGCACGGCAAGTTGTACCCTGAAATTAAGTGGAATAATAATAAGTAAGAATTTATATCTTATATGAGATAAAAATTAGAAAATAAATAAATAAACCTACTGGTATTGGAGAACCAATGCAGGCATCTTTCCACCAAATAGGTCCATTTCCATCTATTTTTCCACTTCCACTGACTGTAAGACCATTCACGGTGTTAAAAGATAGCCACGTGTCAACGTGATGGCCAAACCAATCTGTTTTTTTGGTTGGAGCAACAATGTTTCCTGACA